TGGCCAAGGCCTCCCTGCCCTGGGGCTGCAGCACAGCAGTTAACACTGTTTGCCTTCAAACTAGTTGTTAAATTGTCCTGTGGGACAATTAGACCAGAGAAGCCAAAAGAATGTGCCAGGGCACCGGGTTTCTGTTTGGAGAGAGGCTTTCGGTAAACAGTGCTGGCATTCCTGCAGGTTTTGTGGGACCAGCGCAAACACTGCCGCAGCCGGGCTTGAGCAATCCCCAGCCTGCGCTCCGCTTGGCAGCTCCCTTTGTCCCTGCTAATTACCTACAGGACCGTCCTGAGCAGCCCTTCTGGTCAGCCAGGCGGTCAGCCAGGTGGCAGAGCCTCGGTGCAGAGCAGGCGCCCAGGCCTCCCAGCATGCAGGTGCGAAGCGGCTTTGGGTGCCGGCCCTGTTTTCCTCATCCCTGGATTGCAACCCAGAGGTGAATCATCTCGGAAAGTTTGGAGAGAATTCTGTCAGCCGCCCACAACGCGTAGGTGCAATAATGGCTGCTTCAGGCCCTTAAGGCAGAGCTGGAAAACCTTCCCGTTTTGTGGCTGTTACTGGGGATTGAAAACGACTTGCCTGGTGGCTGCTGTTTTGTCTCCCGTCCGCCCGAGGAGCGAGCAGCTCTTCTGTCCCTCCGGCCTGGACATGAAGGGCTACAGTGACCCCTCCTGGCCAGCAGGGGTGGTTGCCCGGCAGCCAGGTTCCTCAGCCCCTCTGGGTCCCAGCATCGTTGTGACTTATCAGCCTCAGGATTAGGGCTTCCAGGGCCCTCGTCTTCGCCTTTGGTGTGGGTGAGAATACTTGGAGAAAAGTGCTCACAAACCTGTAGCATCAAGTGGCACTTAGAACGCAGCCCAGCATTCCTAGGGGGCTCCCTTTACTCTGCTTTTAAGCCTAAAAACATGAAGGGGACCAGCCTATGGGTCCCCTCTGGAGTTCGTGGGCCCAGCTCGCAGACTCCCCTGGGCCCCCAGATTCCCAGCTTCTTGTCTGCAGCCCCCTACCCAAGCCAGCCCCGGCGGTCCAGTCTCTTTGCTGGAACGTACTGCCACCAAGAGTCAGACAGGCCTGGGGCTCGCTTGTCTCACTGCTGAGATGATTCTGTTGAGAGAAACACCCTCCTACCAGTCACACTGGGCCCCAGGTCCCAGCCAGGTCCGTGCCAGGGCGGCCCTCGGGGCAGGAGCCCACGGAGTGAGCCCCGAGGAGGGATGGCGAGCGGGTGCTGCCGGCTGCCTGCTGCAGTGGGCTGTGTGTTCTTACAGGCCGCCATTGTTTTCTTTAGCCCTGTCCCTGCATGTGTTCAGAAGCCTGAAACGGACCGGCCAAGGGCCTAGTCCAGGGGACAAAGCACCTGGCCTCCCTCGTGCCACTGCAGTGCTTGTCCCTGGGTTGCAGGTCGCTGCAGAGAGGCCTCCTTGGTTTGGAAGTCGGTTTCTTGGCACCAGCAGCCCCTGGACTGCTCCTGGGCACCGTCTGACCAGCCCCGTGACCCGCTCGCCCTGCTGTTAGTGCGGAGGGGCGGGAGGTGACGGCAGGCGGAAGGTGCTGCCTGGTAGTAAAAGGGGCTCGTGGGCTTGGGCGGCTCTCTGTGGAAGCCTGTGCCCTCGCAGGACACCCACACGTCTAAGCTGGTCCCGCATCCCCTGTTCGTTATGTCCTGTTCCCAGCACCTTCAGGAAGTGGGCATTTGGTGGGGAAGCGCTTCAGCTACATGGAAACGGCACCTGTGGAGTGGCTTGTGGAGGAGGCGTTACCGTGACGGAGAAAGGGAATGCTTTAGGGGACTGTGTAGAGGTGGCCGCTCCTGTTTATGACGAAATGCCCTGTCCCCTCCTTGGTGGGTTGTTGGCATATAGCGTCAGGCCAAGGGTGTGACTGCCACACCCTCACCCTGCATGCTTCTCGCGGCTCCTCTGGGAAGTCAGGATTTGGGGGTTTGGTTCCTGGGACACGCCCCGGCTGCTACAACTCGAGGTCTTGTCCCCAAGCCTGTGCCAGGTCCCCGGTGGCCGTCAGGTGCCGAGCTGAATGAATCAGATGGGCACAACTCGCTGACTTCATTGTTTTAATCCAACCCGAACCCCTCTCCCACGCTGCCCTCACCCTCTGGCCAGTCCACATGGGCACGGTTACAATGTGCCTCGATTATGTAGGAGAACAAAAGGCAACCTTCCCTTCCTGTAAAAAGGCAGCACCCCTTGCGAGGTGGAGTTCTGTAGCTGTGAACTGGAGGTTGTGGTCTGGATCTGGGGAGCGTGGCCTCGGGCAGGCCCAGGGAGCCCGCTAGATCTGCAGGAGTAGCGCCACGCCTGCCAGGACCCACTTAGCCGCCTTCTCTTTGGTTTTCAGGTTAAAGGTCCAGACATAGGTGGGGCCGCGGAGGCGTGTTTTGTACACGGGACACTCATATATGTTCTTGGTCTCCATGCGGTCCACAGGGATGGCCTTGATGAAGGTGACGGGCATGGCCGGCGTCAACTCCTTCAGCCGCGCTTCGCTGATGACCCCAGTCTGGGTGTCCCAGCGAGCTCCTGCAGGGACAGTGCTGGCAGTGAGTGAGGGGACGGGCCTTGCATCCCACACCTGCCAGGATAGGCTGGTGACCCCGACACCCCCGGCTTGGCTCTGCACCCAAAGAGCTCAAGCCAGGGGCCAGGGGCTGGCTGGGCACAGGAATTGCTGAAGACGGAGCTGTAAACGGAGAGGTCATCAGCAATCACGTGACCGCCCCCCCCCCCCCGCCCCGCTGTGCACCGAGGCAGCTGGCACGGAAGCCATTGGCACCATCGTTTACATTTGTTTAGAGCCTCATCCACCAGCCTTCTTAATTTCAGTGCAGGAAACAACCACTCCGCTGCAAATGACGGGGCTCCCTTCACAGGGAGCGTCCTGTGTGTACATCTGCGTGTCAAGAACCATTTCCCTCTGCACAGAACTGTTACTGCCTTTACCCGGGCTGCTATTTCTACTCGCCCTATTTAATGATGTTTATATTTCCTGTCATTCCAAATAAACATGGAGGATGGTTGCTCTGTGCTTTTCTTTGTGCTGTGGGAGACTGGGGGCCCTGACACCTCCACAGGTAAGGGCCGACGTCACTCGCTGCGTAGGATGGAGGTACGTGGTGGCGTAGTTGGCACTCAGAGTGGCTGAAGAGATGGCTCGCGCAGCGGTCCTGTGTGGCCTCTGCCCGGCTGCTGCTTGGTCCTGGCCCCTTGGACAGCCTGGCACCAGGCTCAGAGGAGGTGGATGGCCAGGCTGTCCTTCCCCTGAAACCTGTGCCTGGGGGCAGCAGCAGCTCGGACAAGGGCTGCGACTTGGACAGGAGCTCTGCACCTTCACCCCTCACCCCCCTCAAATGCACATCCGTCCTGGGCTCCCTGCCCCACGGCCTGGAAGGGCTGAGTCCCTCATCGCCTTGAAGCAGGAACCCACGTTTGAGAGTAAGTGGCCGTTTCAGCAAAGCAGCGCCAGGCCGCTTGTCTGGAGTGCCGTGTCTCGGTCCCCTCCGGACCTCTGAGCGTGTTCTCAGAGCCGTGGCACCTGTCTCGAGTCAGCTCTAAGCTGCGAGCCCACATGGCCCTCCGAGCGCCTCCCACCTGCCCCCTTGCAGCGCGCACACACCTGCCTTTGCTGAGCTAGTCTCGCCAGCCAGGCAGGACCAGCTCCAGAAGTTTCCACAGCCCAGCGCCCTCTACCTTCCATGAAGAGCCCGTAGACGTAGGAGCCCTCTCGTGGGGGAGCCGTCATGTCTTCCTTGTTCTTCTTGGTCACTTCAACAGACAGACACATCTTGTCCAGCGGCCACTCGTTCTTCCTGGCCGTGGACTGCATGATGGCTGTGAGGAAGGACTGGGGGTTGAAGAAACCGGCCAGCCACACGGCGGTGGGCAGGGCAAAGTCGGTCGTCCAGGCCTCGAGCTCCTGGAAGGAAACGCAGCGGGGTCGCGCGGGGCTGCGTGCCTGCCGGCGGCGTGCAGGAAAGCTCACAGGCGGAGGAGTGGAGCCCGGCGGCCCCGGGCCTGGCTTTCCTGTCCGGCTCCATTTTAAATGGGGGGGTAGGACGAGAACGCCAGGAGGGACGGCTGAACACTTGAGAATCTGGGAACCCCCGAGAGGCTTTTACTTTCGTCACCCGGCCACGTTTAGGAGGCGGCTCCGGCTGACGCGTCACTGGAGTGTCCTCCGCTCTGTTTGTATCAATAGACCCGGCCCTCGCTCCGAGCCTGCCGCTTTCTTCCTTTAGGAGGAAGTGCCTGTGCTGTGAGGCGTCGCGGCGGCATGGACCAGGCCCTTGTGGCCCTGCTCTGACAAAGGCCAGGCCAGCAGGGGCCTCGAGGCCTGCCGGGGACACGCTCTGGGGCGGGCATCTGGGAGCCCTGTCCTCACCCTGATGCGGAGCAGCAGGTCGGCGTACCAGGCCGCCAGGCCCATCATGGAGGGGTAGGCCCGGGCCACCCACGTGTCGGGCACGGTGTCGTAGAACAGAGCTGTGCATAGGTCCTCCATGTCGGTCGTGATGGTCAGCTCCCCCTAAGGCACACACAGACAGGTGCTGGGGGGCCCAGGCTGCGCCCCTCGGCACGGACGCAGACCTGGCCAGTCCCGGGCCCTGTTCCACCTGCGCTCGGTCAGGCGGGAGAGCACCCCCCACGTGTGCTGAGAGCTGCCGACGGACCACAGCCCCAGACCAGGGAATGGAGGGGCGGCAGCAGCCTGCCGGGCCGAGGGGCCGAGGCTCCCGATGGCCCGGGGCAGATGGGCTGAGGTGGTGAGTCCTCCTGCGCTGGCCAGCCTGCTTCCCAAGTCCCATCCCCGGGCCCCCGCTGACCCACACTTTACCTTCAGACCCAAGTTCAGCTCCTTTAGCGAACGGCGCATTTCATTGGTTAGGATGTTCATTCGTTCACATTCTTGAAAGGCAACCACCACGTAGGGGGTCTTCTCGGCCGCCTTCTCCATGATCTCGGCCATGTTGAATGTCTCTGGGATTTTCTCGAGGATCTCATCCAGCACAGCCTTCACCTGGAAGTCAGCCCCCAGCCAGCCCTGTCACTGCCCTCAGCGTCCAGAGCCCCAAACCCGGGAGCAAAGACAAGGAGTTGCCAGAAAAACAGGATCACGGAGGTGCAGCCACATATCCCCCAAGGAGAAGGAGCCGTGGCCAATGGGCTTTGAGTGTGCTGGTCCTGTCAAGCCACATGGCTGCGGCCTGGGGAGCGTCTGGCTACCCTAGCCTGCTACCTTCAGACATCCCTGAGTGCACCAGCATCCTGCCCCTGGTCAGATCACCCGGTGGCTGTGGGATTGTGACTGTCCTCCGTGTGGAGGAGGAGTGGCCCACACGGTGGGCAGGTACACTGCCTCCCCAGCAATAGACTCCTGGTCTCTCCATCATTAGACCAAGGAAAGGTCACGGGGCCTAATAGCACGGAGGGTCTTCCAATCAAGAATTTGGCTGACTTGCCGTGAAGCCCGACAGCTAATTTTTAACAGAACTTGTCTGAACACATTATAAAGCGCAAAAGGTCTCGTGCCTCCACAGACGGCAGAGGAACCCAGACAGGTGAGAATTTATTAAATGCTCTCACACACTGAGCTTCTCTGCTAATTGAGTGTCAATAGGGCCTGGCCACTGCCGTCTAAACTCCCCCGGAGGGAGGGCCTGTTCCCATGCATCTGGACCGTTACACGTGCTGCTGCTCTTGGGCTCAAAGGGCCGGGCTGGAGGAGAGGAGCTGCTCCCTGGAGCACTCAGCTGGGGCAGCTGGAGGACCCCCCCACCCTGCCCCTCTCTAGGCCCGCGAGCCTGCTCAGTGCCACTGGGGCCTGTGAGCCAGCTTGCAGACCCCACCCCGGAGTTGCCGAGGTCTGGGGCGGGACCCAAGTGTGGTGCCAACAGGTTCCGAGGCGCTGAGGCTGGTCGGGGCAACCCCAGGTTCTAGACCCTGCCCTTCCACTGCCCCTGGGAAGGATGGTAGGGGTCCTGCCTTCTCCTCGCGGGACATGCCGGTGCCTGCGCCTGAGTCCGTCTCTTTGGGCTGCATTTCCAGGACAGTGCGGAACAGCTTCTCCGAGGTGACCGTTAAAAAGCCGATCTCTGCATTGGGGTGCAGGCCGTACAGGTAGGGACTCTCGGGGGGCAGGTTCTCGTTGATGTATTCATGATAGCCCTGAAAAGGGGCGGTCGGTCAGGCTGCCGGCCGGGCGTTCCTGTCAGAATGTCCCATCCATGCGCTGGTCCCGCACTGGTCCCGCCTCCCGTCCTGGGCGGCTCCTTTGTCCCGCAGCTCCATAAGGAAGTTTCCACCCCCTCCCCCAGGCTGCTTTTCAAAGCCTCTCATTTCGGTTCCCTGGCTGCTTGCTCAATTATTGATATCCCATTTGTGATCTGAGGCTCTCACCGGGAGCCGGCCACGATGGCATTAACCTTGGTCGCTGTCGTGTCACTGAGTGAGCTCATGTTTAATCTGTGGTCCATGCCTGGGAAGGGGCTCTCCTCACCTTGTAATCCAGGTTGGGGGGGATCTGAAACCCTGGGGCTAGCTGGATCTCCCCCTCCAGCATCTCTGCCCGGACGTATTCCACCAGGTACGTTCTGCACAGCCGGCGGTCCCAGTCATCCGTGATGTGGCCGCCATACATGATTTCACCAAAAAGGTAGCGGAGGTCATCCCAAGGCACCTTCAGAGGACAGAAGCAGTGAGGGACAATGCGTCCTGCCCCGAGGGTGACGCCATCTCCTTCACAGCAGCTGCTACCCTCAGTCGCCAGGCCCGAGGCTCACCGCTCCCACCCTCCCCGCACCCGGCACCCCACCACCGGGCACCCCACCACCGGTCCTTGGTGTCTGATTGGGCTGGCCAGTGACCGCCCCCAGCCCTCTGCCCGCACTTCACTGCAGCTCACGGCCAGTCCCCCAAACTCCACAGGCCCACCCGCCAGCCCCACCGCCCCTCTCCCGTTCCTCCCTTTACTACCCACGCTCAGAGACATGGCGCCCTCTGGGCCTCCTCACTGCCTACTTGCACCAGAAACAGTTTAATTCCACGGCGGCTGGGCCTGGACCTCTGGCACCGCGCAGCTTTCTGGCTGTGAAGTCCAGTGAGGGCTTCGCGTGGGTCCTGTGACCCCACTGACTCTTCTTGTACCTGACTTTCGAAACCTGTGTGTATTTTACCCCTCGGTTTGTACTGGCTGCATGTCGCACGCGGCTGGAGGCGAGCTGCCCTGGGCAGAGCAGGCGTGGGGCCCCCACCCCCACCCCCATGCCCGCTTAGCCGCCACCACCTCCGCTCGCCGTTCCCCAGGGCGAGCTGGACATTTAGCCGCTGTCTACCAGCCACTTGCAAACGAAAGGGCCTTCAGTAAAAGTTGCTGAATCGTCAGTTGTCTCGTCTGCTCTCATGAGTTTTACTCAGAAAGTTAATATTCTCTAACTGGTCATTTCCCCGGCCCAGCTGTTGTGCAGCGTACTGAGCAGAGGTTCCGGCATGCTACTTATTTGCTTCATGGACGGGTTGATTCTCCTGTGGGGCAGGGTGGGCACACCCCACTCCGCCTCCCGGGACGGTCCTCCCCTTGGGGTGGGGCAGCGGAGTAACCCCCAGGGACAGTCGCCATCAGTGTCCCACACCTGCCGATGGAATCCCCGGGGTGCCTGTCACGCATCACCAGGCCTCGCCTGTTTGAATGTGTGTCACTCGGACACTCCCTCAGAGTGGCAGGATGGGAGGGCCTGGGACAGGACAACATCATCACTCACTCCAGGTACTTCTCTGCCTCCCTGAGGCCAAAAGCTGGGACAAGGGGCAGGTCGGCAGGCAGGGCAGGCCCAGTGGAAGCACTGCCGGCAGGACGCGGGGTCCTGTGCCGCCCTTCACGCTCCCTCCCCCACCGCACGGTGCAGTCTCAGCAGGGCTTACCCAGCCTGATTCGCGCGCGCATGATGCGGGAGGCATCTAAGTAAACATCTGTAGGAAATTCCAACCAGACGGTTCCTCCCACACCGATCTCCCAGAGAGACCTGCTTACAAGCTGCAGTGATGCGGGGAAACCCTTCAGGTCATCCCCAGAGCAGCCATCTACTCCTGTGCGTGTTGGGAAACACGCTACCAACGCTTGGCCTGGACTCTGTTTTAGCTCAAGTGACCACCAGCACCCTGCCCGACCCCCTGCAGAGGAGACCAGCCTTCCCCTTCCCTGAAGGGCATCTACAGGACATGGGAACCACTGCAGTGGGGGTGGCGAGGGGCGGGGGGCACCGACTTAGGCCTGTGCTGCCCTCCGCCTTCTCCACGGATTTCCAGGGAACTAAGCAAGCACAGCATTCCAGGCTCAGACTCGGGTGACAGCAGTCCTGGGAGGCCGTCTTCCCCACCGCCTGAGTCGGCGGCTCCGTTGTGCCTGCCTGGGCAGGTTGGTCCACTCTGGGCCAAGGCCACAGTTCCGTCTGACAGCAGGTGGCCCCAGGTGCTCACCTTTCCCTGCTCTGCCCTGAAGTCCCCCCCTCCCACCTGCATCACAGTAGGGTTGGAGACAGGAGGGGTTCCTGAGATGAGCGCTTCCCGGGCCAGGTGGGGCACTTTGCTCCTTTCCTCACTGAACCCCCAAGCTTTGAGGCTGGGGTGTTGTCCCCAGGCTTTGGGAGTCTCTTAGCTACTGAGGGGGAAGGGCTGGGCTTCAAACCCAGGCCCCTGGGCACCAGCACCCCTTCTGACTATGCCACCAAGGGGTGGGTGCCTAGGCTCCCCGAGTGCTGGGAGGGAGGTGCCAGCTCTGACCACCTCGCTGGCCCCAGCAGGTTCCTGGGAGCCTCCCTAAGCAAGCTGCTTCTGCTCCCCGCCCACCCCCTCAGCTTAATAAACTGCCGGGCGGTGCCCCTTGTCACTGTTGCTTTAGGGGCAAGAGTGAGGAGGAGCCCAAGGCTTATGGGGGGCACACAGCCCTCTGCCTCCTCCTGGGGCTCACAGAGGTGGTGCCGTGTTAGCGCCAGGCTTCACGTAAGGTCCTGAGAAGGCCAACCCTTCTCAAGGACCACCCTTCTAAGGAGAACCACCCTTAGTCCAGGGTGGGTGGCCAAGGCTTAGGGGGTCTCTAGACAGGCTGCCGAGCCACTCACTGCCCAGGCCACGCCCATCTCCCCTCCTCCCCGCTCCCCAGTCCGCTTTTGTCCCCACAGCCAGTTCCTGGAGGGCGCTGGCTTTCTTTTCAGCCCTCTGCAGCTGTTTGCATCTGACTAGACATTTAATTTTCAATAAAAAAGGTAGGAAGCCTCCCCGTCTTTCCAGGGAGCTGTTTTTGGCCCTTGCTCTACACCTGGGTTCTGTCTCCAGACGCTGACTGAACACCAGCCTTGTCCACTCCTGGCTCACGCTGCCCCAAGGTGCTGGGATTTGTGGGGGAAATCCCTGTTTGGGTGCTAGATGGGCAGACCCCCAAAGTATCTGACCCCCATGGAGTGTGATCACAAGCAGACGTTGCCAGGTGGTTGACACCTGCTGTGCTGGCAGCCGCGAGGGTGGGGGGGTGGGGGGCTGGATGCTAACCATGCTAACCATGGTGTCAGGGTCTAGGGGATTCTTCGTAGGTTTCAGGTTTTCCTTGGCTGTGCCGCTTATTTAACCTTATTTGACGTCTCTTAAACATACGACTAAGAACCATAATAAAAGGGAGGGCGGGGAAAGGCTGGATGGGAGAACTGACTGGGCAGGAGGTCCGCCCTGTACCTTGGTGTTGGCCTCCAGGTAGTTGTAGAGCACGTTGATGGAGATGGTGAGGTCCCCGTTGTTGAAGGGGTATGACCTGTTCCAGCCCTGTGCCCCAAACTTGCGCCGCTCGGCCACCACGGCATGGAAGTAGCACAGGGCGAAGAGAATGCACTTGAACTCCAGCTCTTTGGTGCACATCTCCAGGGTGTCCTGCGGGGGTGCACGCTCCGGTCAGGTGGGGTCCATGCAGAGCCGCCAGGGGGACCAGGGTCCCGCCGGCCTGGTTTGCTGGGGTGGGGTGGGGTGCAGGTGCGGTGGGGCAGGGGTAAAGTTTCTCAGGTCTGCAAAGCCTGGCAGAGAACACTCAGAACACTGATAGGAAGTGTTGTATCACTTAAGTACTGATCACAAGTTAAATGATTGCTACCGCTTCCTAACAAAGCATTACCCATGCCAGGGCATTTCAGGGCTTACTTAAGGAGAAATAATGTCCCCTCACAGTTACCAGCCTTCCTCATTGTTTACATACAAACAGTACCCACGCTCTGCAAGAACAATCCTCGTCCCCTGTAAGGGAGCGGGTGCCTAGCAAGCACTCCCATTTTCCATGGCCCCAGGGAACGGCAGACCCAGCCCAAGCTCTGAATCAGGTTGGTGAGATTTTACTGATTATGATTTGTCTGCTAAGTGGGCAGCTCCTGGCACACACAGGCTTCTGAAAGCTCAGCTGCGTCTTCCTCATCCGCCCAGCGCCGACTGCGCCGCGGGGCCCAGGGCTCTGCTGGCGTGTGGAGAGGGGCCCCAGCTTGCCGCAGCGGGCTCTGCTCACTCTGGGGAGTGGCTGCAGGGTCTCAAGGCCCTGCATAGTCTGCCCCGGGCCTCTCTGCACCTGGCCAATCCTTACTTGCTGCTGGCCTTCGCTGTCCGCCTGGGCACCCACTCCCAGCACTGGCTTCAATGTCCCCGCGCCTGCAACACCCCAGGCACCCAGCATTTCTGCTTGGAGGGAGCAATGTATGACTCTGCACACCTCTTGTCCTGCCTTAAGTTCCCCGTGACTTCACTCTGACCTTGCCGGGTCCTTTCAAAGCCAGTTGGGGGTTGTTAGTTGATATTGCCATCTATTATTTTATGTATTAAATCAGATCTAGAAGTTACACATTCTTGGCACAATGCACTCCATACATAGATCTTTGTTAGGTTTTACTGGAGAACGCAGGGTTTCTTCCTCAAGAAGGTTTTAGACTCTGATTTGGAGACCAAGTGTGTGCACTCAGAAAGTTCTAGTGCAGAACGGAAGATGGTCAGGTGCCAAAAGCATAGACACTGATGCTAAGGATTTGCACAAGAGCACAAGGATGCCAGGGAAGGTGGCGGCCTGCTTGGGGACGGAGGCAGATCTGGGCCTGGAACCAGAGCTCGGTGCCCAGAGAGGCTGGCGTTACCACCCTCCCTCATGGGAGAGAGAGGAGGGACCACGGAGGCACTGCGGCCTCAGCAAAACTGACTGACTGTCGGGGAACCACCCGTGGGAGCTTGGCCCCTTCCTAAGGGGCTCAGACAAACCCAGGCCCTGGACGTCATTTACCTGTACTGACTAGCAGGTCACGAAACTGATTAAAACATGCCTTTAAAAAAAATAAAGCTGTGCATGATGGGTACTGCCACAGCACTTAGGGCACTCTTTCAGGGACCTACTGACTTGGCAACGCTAGGTGTGTGTGGGAGCGTGCATGTGTGCGTGTGTGCGTGCGTGCGTCGGGAGAGAGCCAGCGTGGCGTGTCCTCACGGTTCAGCCTGATCCGTGGCTTTGCAGGCCCAGAGATTCCATCTGGTTTGGGTCCCTGGGCTGCTGGGCATGTGCACAGAAGCCGCCCTACCTGGGTGAAGAGGTCCAAGGCCTTGTGCAGGTTGGCATACATGCCCGTGGGCGGCTCGTTGGTGATTTTGATGGCATTTTCCAGGATGCCCTGGGGGATGATGTGGGACTCGGGGCTGGGGGCGGGCTCGGCGCTCATGAACACGCGGTAGTCCTCATGGCTGCCAAGGCTGTACCGTTCCACCTTCTTGTCCAGGGTGCTCAGCCACCGGGAAACCAGGTGGATGTTCTGTGGGCAAGACCAGGGTTTAGTGCCCACACGGACTGGCCACTCTGCCGTGTCCTCTGCGGGGCTCTTCCTAACATCACCCGCACTCCCCACCCTGCTGTCCACCCTTACGGGCCGCAGGGCATGCAGGGTCGTTTCAGCTAAGCACCTGTGGCCCCAGAGTCGACTCCAGCCTAGGGCGAGTCCTCACTGCTCTCCGTTGGCCTGGCATAAGGCTGAGATTACATGGTGCCCACCCCTCCTCTGACAGGTTTGGGTCAAAAGCAATGACTTGATGCTGAGGTCTCTACTTGGGACCAGGTGAGGCCCGTGGATTGAAGTCAGCCACACCGTGGGGTCTGTGGGAGCCAGGCCAGCCTGGAGGTGCTAGGGGGACAAGCTGGGGTGAGGATGGGCTGATGGGGGTTGTGCTAGGATTTACCCAAAATGGGGAGCACAAGCCTCCTGGCTGTTGGTGTGGGGCGGAGGAGGGGCGCTTTTGTCACCAGGGTTTTTGTGTTTAAAGTCATATCTCTTTAGGGGTTCTCTGGCATTAAGCCCAGTCTTTCTCATCACTGAGGAATCCACACTGCCACCTGAGCAGTCCCGATGCCCCCGACCCCCCGCTGACCCGGGCAGAGCTGAACTTGGCATGGGTGCCTCCTGCCCGTCTGTGAACGCAAACCCCATGTCCTGCTTTCTTTCTGGCCTCCAGGCCAATCCCCTCAGTGCGGGAGCCCCCGCCCCCCCGGAGGTGTCGGTAGCCCTGTACCTGCAGAATGACCCAGTGTCCCTTCTCTGCAGCCACGTCCAGAGCATTCTCGGCCACCACCTCTTGTCCCTGCCCCAGGGACACGTTATGGAGTTTCCCATTGTCAATGGTAAATTTCAGTTTTTTCCCTAAAGGAAAGAAAACCAGGAAAAGTGTGGTGGTGAGTGAGTGATAAAGGTTGAGGCTCTGGGACCCACAGCTGGGACTTCCACACCCTCCCCCACTTTTTTTATTGTGGCAAAATCCACGTAAGATCAAATTTACCATTTTAAAAGCCATCTTAAAGTGTACAGCTCAGTGACATTTAACACTTTCACGGCATTGTGCAAACATCGGTCTGGTTCCAGAACATTGCCATCACCCCAGGAGGAAACCCCGTGTCCATCCGCCGCGCTCCATGCCCCTCCCCCAGGCCCCGGCAGCCCCCACTCTATGCACTGCCCTATTCTGGACCTTTCAGATACATGGCGTCATATAATAGGGGGCCTCTGTGTCTGGCTTCTTCCTCTTGGCATACAGTTTACAAGGTCCATCTCTGGTGGAGCGTGCGTCAGGCCTCACTGCTGCTTACGGTGGAACACTATCCCACTGTGTGGACTTGCTACATGGCCGTTATCACTGGTCAGTTGGTGGACACTTGGGTTGCATCCACCTGTTGGCCCTTGTGAATGTAGAGTGCTTGTCTGACCAGCTGTGTTACTTCCTCGGGTGTACGCCCACGAGTGGCGCTGCTGGGTCACGTGTCACTTCTCGAGGCAGCACCAGACTGCCCTTCACGGCGGACGCACCGTTTGGCGTCCCCACCAGTGACGCACCTGAGCTCCGGGTTCCCCATGTCCTCCCAACACGTGTCATTTTCCGTGTCTTTGGTAGTAACCATACGAGGGGTGAGAGCTGCCATCTCACTGGGGTTTGGGCCTGTGTTTGCTGGTGACTGAGGCCCTTGCTGGCCGGCCACACTCACCCAGGGCTTCCACGTCTTTCAGGGGGTCGACCCCCGGGGAAAGGATGAAGAAGATCGGCGTGGACGGGCTGCTCTCCTCGTAGGACTTGGAGAACTCCACGCTCCGGCCCTCCACAAACTTGCTGCCCATTTTCTCCTCCACGAAGTTCCTGAGGAGACGCACCTGGTCAGACCCCAGGGCTCGGGCTCGGGGCTCGGGGGGCGCGGCCGGGGGAAGGGCCGTTTCCTGGTGGACTTCCTTAAGGAGAGAAAGGTCTCAGGCCGGAACAGAGTCTGAGCAGGGGCTTTCCTGGGGCAGCGGGGCTGTGGAGGGGGTCCGTGCTCTCCGCCTTGGCGATGCCTGCTCCTGGGGCCCTGCAGTGTGCGCACAGGTGAGGGGCGGCTCCGCGGGCTGACCTGGCGCTGCCTGTTTTCAAAGGCACATAAGGGCAACTGGGAGGGGGCACCGGCCGCATCGGGGCCACAGCTCAGCGCCCCCAGGTGACCACGCCTCAGGGCCAGGTGGCTCTGGAGCCTTGAAGCCCTCCCTGCTCCCAAACAAAGGGCTCGGTTTTCAGCCATTTCCTGTTTCCCACACATTTCCTGTCTGCTGTCCGGACAAGAGCAGCGAGAAGACGCAGTGTTGATGGGTTTCTGCGTCCTGATGACCTCCCGGGCTGAGGCTGAGGGGTTTCAGGAAGAAGGAAGCTGCCTCACAGCCGTTTTCTTCACTTGACATAAATACCTTCACTTACATAAGCACCTCTCTGTTCAAACCACAAAGTTTTCCTAGCTTGACCCCATAAGCCCCGGGGTCCCTCGAAGCCCCTGTAATGGGAAATCCAGTGTTGTACGCGTGACCTTTGGAGCTCAGCTGTCTGTCCCGCTCCCTTGATCACAGGCTGCTGAGCTCACTAGATTCTGAATGAATCACAGGAGGTAAAATTAGCACCATGTTCATGTCCAGCCCAGTCTTTGAAAGCATGACAATGGCAGTGTCCCCAGGGAGCGTTTGCTCATCCCCAAGCAGGTGGCTCTCTGAATGCTGTGAGCACCTTGGCGGCCCTTCAGGTGCAGCTGTTCACTTAGAGGCCTCTCCTTCCCTCATTCAACGGGGCTCTGCCAGCTGGTGCGACTTCCCGCCCCCTGGGCCTGCCTGGGGCACCTTCGTCTGTGTTCAGCCCCTGCTCTAGCGTCTGTGTTTCCTGAACCGGCGGCGCCTGCAGGGGGGTGGGGTGGGGACGCTCCTCCTGAAAGCCGGTGACTGAACTTAATACTGGCATTCGGGTCCTTGTCCTGGAAGGACTTCCGGAATGTCCCAAGTCCTGCCCTGCCCTGGGCAGGCTGTCACTAAGTCAGGGCAAATTACCAGGCCACCTGGTCACTCTCTGCGCATGAATTAACGATGCAGAATGGGGTGCTCCTGGGTCCAGCTCTGAGTGGATGGAGCCAGCTCCCAGCGGCTCGCGGGGAAACCCCAGCGCCTGCGATCAGTGCAGCAGCAGCGCGGACACCACACGAAGTGGCCAGTGCTCAAACCACGGCGTGTCTGAGCCGGCTTGTTAGCACCCCACCCCCACCTTGGGCGAGTTACTCCCCTCCCTGGGCGTGTGCTGCTGCCTTGGTGACAGTGCCAGCCTGAGGGGCTCTTGGAGGATGTGAGTTCCATGGGTGACACGCTCTGCGCGGCACCTGGCACCCGACCACCCTTGACAGGTGTTGGCTGTTACCACTGGCGGTAGACTTGAACTTCCTTGCTCTGAGACTACACTCCCCTTACACAGTTAGGGAGGCACACCTGCTTCCCTCAGCCTCACAGAGACGGCACAGCGTGGCTGCGGTGCACCTGGCGCTGGGGTCGCCCACGCCACTGCTGAGGGTGCCGGCGTTCATTCCCTTCTCCAGGTCACCGACGCGCTTTCACCTGTTAACCCAGGTGGTTCTCAAACCTGATTTAAAAACCCTGGGCACGCAAATACCCTCCCTTCCCCAGGCAGGTGCCGTGGGGTCGGGCGCCCTTGGCCTTGGCCTTTTCCAGGCTGTCCAGCCTAGACTGGGCCGCCTTCTCCCTGGCCCGGCTTGATGACGGTGCTTCTGCATTTCTTGTTTTGTCCCACCCCCTTCCTCCGTAACCCCTCCTGTTCCATTTCCTCTTAGTCCAAGGGAAACAGAGCCAAACAGAAGCATCTGTGAATTACCACTGGGTGCGAGTCAGGCCTCAGCTTTGCCAGAAGGACATTCTGTTAGGGACATGGGCATCTTTGGGGAAATCTGGCCGCTTTCAGGCTACTACGACATGAAAAGCAAAGGGTGCCACAGATGACCCACGTGCCCCCACAGAATGGGCCCTGGGTTCACGTCATGGTCACCCCTTCTCCTTCCTGGATGGTTCTAGCTCCCTCGGTTGGCGGGTGGTGTGTCAGGAGGAGCCAAACTCCCCCCACTCCAGGAGAGGAGGGATGGGAAGCCACAAATGTCTGCCCTGGGGACCGAGTGCCGAGGTGATATGAGGCAGCCCCGTCTGAGAAACGATAGGCCTAACGGGGGATGGAGGAGCTGGAAAGACGCGACGATGAGTTTCCCAGCTGTGAAGGGGCTTCAGGTCCAGAGAAATTGTTCAAGACATTAGAACAGTTCTCTGCAAACGAGCCAAGTGTCAGAAAGAAAGACGGACTTTAGACGTGGCCACTGAGGGGACTAAAGTTCTCGAATGCCGACGGCCTTGCCATGGCTTTCTCCCCACAGCACCCTAAAAGGACTGCCTGTGGCCCCAGAGATCATGAGTGCCCACACTTCTTTAGTCTCGGGGGCTCACGTGCAGGGTCTGTTTTCCCATCACGTGGCCCTGGGCACCCACCCTCCTTGCTTGGGGTAGAGGCGGCCAAGTGTCCTGCTCACTACCTTCTGCGACCCCGAGAGCTCAGGAGAACTCAGAGGCGCCATCGGCGGACGGGGCGGCTCCCGTCTCTGTCCCCGAGGAACTACACGGGCCAACTCCTCTCTGGGCCCACTGTCGCCTCCGGGCGATGGGCAGAATTGCTGAGGGCTGAAGTGGCCCGAGTCCTCACTGCGCCGCGCCAGCCCGGAGGCGGGCACCCACCTGACGGCGTAGGTCATGCGGTCGGGCCGCAAGCACCGCACCATGCACAGCTTCTGCAGGGCCGTCTTGTTCTTCCACTCCTTCGGGAAGATTTCCTTCTCCGGGGCTTCCGACTCCACAAGCTTTTTCCACCGCTTGGCGGATCCTTCAATGTCTCTATCCAGGTTTTTGAATTCATCCATCTCCGAGAGGGCCTGGGGGCAGAGGACCCTTCAGGGTCTCCCTCTGTCCAGCACCTCCCCTCCCAGCGATTCCCTAGGAGGAGCCCGGGGCTCTGGGAAGAGAATGAGCCACGGGGCGCACCAGAGAGAAAGCAGAAGCGAGCTGGAGGAGGCGCTCGTCTCGGGACGCGGTTCCAGGTCGCTCTCCTGAGGGCTCTGGAGCAGGGGCGTCTCACCTCCAGGCACTACCTTCTTAGTGCCTGAACTGAGACACTGAGGGCCTCTGAGTGTGTGTGCCCAGAAATCTGAGCAATACCCTTGACATTTTGCACTTTCTTGGAAACTGGAGATGGGGGAGTGGTGACCCCTGGACATGCCCTGGGGCCTGCTGCAGCTCAGCTGGCCATCGGCAAGGAGGGACACGCACAAGGAGCAAGGAGCGTTGCTGTATTCGGACAGGAACGCAGAGCTCCCCAGGAGTTGGCAGGCAGCCAGTTGCTCGCAGCCCTACCTCTGGGGCCTACCGCCTTTACCAATGTCACGGCCGGGGGTGGTGCCTTGTGAACATCCCCAGTGGGAGCGGCGGGGAGAGGGGACAGAGTCTGAACACCCACCTTGATGCCACCCCATCCCTGAGGCAGCAGGAAGTCCACGGGTGACGTGACCCCGGCCTTGAAAGGGAACCGCAAGAGGAAGTCCAGCTCCACGGGGTTCAGCTCCTTCTTCATGGACAAGACCTGAGGGGACACGGGGCCGCTCAGCGGCTGTCACCTCCCTCACCCCTTTGGGTTAGAGCAAAACTTTGTCATCACCTTGCTGTTGTTTTATATTGTGGTAAAACACGCAGAACATAAAACTGACCATTTTAGCCCTTTCAAGTATAAAATCCAGTGGCATTTAGTGCATTCACTGTGTTGTACAACCATCACCTCTATCTAGACGCAGAACTTTTTCATCCCCCAAAGGGAAGCCCGTCTCATCAGCCACCCCCATCCTGACAAGCCCCCAGGGGGCGCCGATACTACCGACCCACGGACCCCACTTTGAGCCGTGAGGCCAGGCCCTACCTGAAAGGCCACCTGTGCCAGGAAAATGAGCTTGTCCCGCTCGAAGAGCCCGCGGGCCGTGTATATGTAGACGGAATAGGTGATTTCGTCCGTCAGGTTCATCACTCGCCGTTTGACCTCGTCGGCGGGGGCCGTCTTCTGGATGGCTTTCCCAAAGACCACGTTGAAGGCCTGGAAGGGGCCACCGAGCACACGGACTCTTGCAGGGCTGGGCTCCGGGGCCAGTCCACGCTGCCAGCAGTGGGCGCGGACCCCCTCCCCGGGCGGGTGCCCCAGCTCCCTCTCCCCTCCCTGTCTGCCCTCTGAGAATGGCCGGGCACGGCACCACCCCACCACCCGATGGCTCCAGACCGCAGCCCGGGCGTGGCTGTACCTTGAGGGAGAACTGGTAGATGGGGTTGATCTTATTGAGGTCGTTCAGGATGAAATACAGCAGGGACGCCCTCTCCGCAGCTGGCCGGTAGTTTTCTCTCGCCTCGTTGATTTTAACCTCTGTGATTTTTGCCTCTTGCACCTCAAAACAAACAAAAGGGGCTTGAGTGAAACCAGCAGGTAGACAACACAGGTTAGCAGATGGGCCCCACCCACCCCCACCCACCCCTGTCCCAAGCCCTTGGCAGATGGCTCTTGGCAGACGGCAGGGATGCTGGGAGGCACCCGTGCCCCTTCTCAGCCCAGCGGCCGACCACCGGCGTGCTCTGGCGGGAACCCCGGAGACGGCTCACCTTCTCCTCAATCTCACTGGCTGTGTGTTTGGTGGTCTCCAGGTTCTCTATTAGGGTGGTGTCTCCCAGGAAGTTCCCAGACGCGGCCGACAGCCGGGCCAGCAGAGAGTCCTCCAGCTCTTTCAGGACGATTTTAAATTCGTTCTGAGACTTGGTGAGGTTCGCCTGCAGGAGGGGCAGAGATGGGAAGGGGAGCCAGTCGTGCTTGGCCCTGCCTGCACCCCCAGCGCTCGGGGCCTCTCTCCAGCTTAGCCAGGGCTGGACCCCAACCGGAGAAGTGCGGAGAGCCTGAGAGAAAGCCGGCACTGGCCCTGCCCCAGCCTCTGTGACTGGCTGTCATTGGCCACCATGTGGCAAGGACTCAGGGCCCCTGGGGACCATGTAGGGCCTGGGACGCCGCTGGCCCACGGTGTGGCTAAGACGGCACAAAGGATGTGACCGCACACAGGGGCCGGCTGCAAACAGCATTCTCGTGCGGTTGCCGTTCGGTGCTTTAAGGCTGTCTGGGCACCGCTGTGACTCCTGATTTTCACTGAAGCCGTCATTTGATTTAGAATTACATTTGGGGGCAGCTGGGGAAGGACAGCGACTCGTGTTGTGCAAAATACAATTCAGTGCAACAAGCTAAGGCACCTTCAGACAGGAGCTGAGGGCCAGGGAACCTGAGGGCGCCCTCCCCTGACTCTGTCCCTGAGCTGGCCCGCCCTGTGCTACCTGGGACGGCCGTCAGGCCCTGGTACCTTCAGCTGCTCTAGATCTGGGCGCTCTTTGGCCACCACAGCGGCCAGGAGCTGGTCCTCGAGGCCGTCCCTGGTGACCAGGAAGTTGATGAGGGTGCACTGGGCCTGCATCTCGGGCTTGTAGTGGGGGTTGAAGTACTTGGTGTGCAGGATGAGGCGGAACTTGGGGTGGTACTCGACCTCCTTGTCCCCGATCTTAATGTACCTGGTGGGCGGTGGGGGAGGGGTAAGAGGGCTCCCGGCCACCGGTGACAGCAATACAAACACAGATCACCTTCCACACCAGCCTGGTGGCCGGCCCCGGCCCAAGCTGCCGTCTTGGACCCCCCTGTGCTCACTGGGAAGGGACTGTGACTTCCCTTGTTTCGTCCCCTTCTCTGGCCTGCGACCGGGGGCCCTTCTGCAAGGTTCTCCCACTCAGTCTCTGGCTGGTGGCCCTCATCTCTACAGCAGTGTTTCCTCAGCTCAGGTTGCAAGTCATCCTCACGGGGTCCCCAACAGAAATACTCGGTCCGGGCGCTGCCCCAAAGCCAGTGATGTCAGAAAGACCCCGGCTTCCCAATTCAGAACCCCTGCACACTCCGAAAGCTCCCAGGGCCTGGAGCCAGGTCTGCAGGCCCATGGAGGGGGCTGCTCTGCCCTCTTTCTGGTCGAGCCCACTCTTTGGGGCCTCGGTCTAACTTCACTCCTTGGGCATCACCACCCCTGCCAGGTCCTTCTCAGATGGTCCAGACCTCAACGTATCTCCTGCCACCTCTGCTCTGGGCTCCTGCACGCACCCCTGCATTTAAAGGTGGCTCATATCCACTCTGACTTTACACTTTGCACATTGATTTAATAGTTTGTATTCGAAAGGCCAATGTAAACTCAATGCATCAACCAATGAGTAGAGAAAGAAATGTCTATCCGCACAATGGAATGTGACTCAGCCGTAACCATGAGCGAGGCACAGGCACCTGCTACACACAGATGAACCGTGAAAACATTAGGCTGAGTGAAAGGAGCCAGGACACGAAAAGGCACATATCGTCACACGAGTCCACTGACATGAAGCGTCCGGCAAATCCACAGAGACAGAGAGCAGACTGGAGGCTGCCAGGAGCTGGGGGCAGGCGGGGTGGGGAGTGGCCGCCCCACGCTACGGGGTTTCCTCCTGGGCGATGAAAAAGCTCCAGAACCAGCCGGAGCTGCTGGTTGGCGGCATCGTGAATGCGCCGAACGCCACCGAATTGTTCGCTTTAAAATAGTTACTTTTATGTTATATGAATTTCACCTGAATTAAAGAAAAAGTTATATAGGCTCAAGATTTGCAAAATGCATAAAAATAGAAAGAAAAACGTGACCGTTAAGGGTCACCTGGAGGTCATCGCCAATAAGACGGTGCAGCGATTCTGAGGGGATGTGGCCCCCCAATGGCCAGCCTCCCCGCTGGGAGCTGGGGGCTCCCTCACACTCGGCAGCACTTGGTTGAATCCCCTGCTGCCCACCAGGAAAGCAGAGGGAGTTCCCGGCACTCTCTCCCTGCACGCGGCCAAACCTCGCGCGACACCGAGGCGTTCACGTGGGTTAGACGGCGGAGACGGACATGGCAACTCACTTTCCCTTTTTAATCGTGTTCCTGCCCAAGAGAGGGTCCAGCACGGGGTCCACGGTTTCGCCGATGTTCTCAATAAGCAAGACGTCCCCTTCTGAAATGGCCTGCTCGATGCTGTCCAGGTAGCTGTGGGCACAACGTGGGCGACAATGAATGACCAGGGACCTGGTGATGGCACAATCGCGTGCCCTCGGAGGCAGCCCTCGGAGGGAGAAGGCACTGTGAGGTGGCGAGGGGCCAGCAGCTCACGCCCCTCTGAAACGTGTCCCTCCCCCAGGGGAGCTCGGGGCCTCTGTGTAATCACCCCTCTGGGATCTCGGGACCGGAGGTGAACACGGAGCCATATGGCTGCCCACGTTTTCACACCTGTATCTCATCCGACCTCCCCAGGACCCTGGGGCAGCAGGCAGGACAGCCCTTGTTACGGCTGTTTTCCTCATCTGTGATGAGGAAATAAACCACATGAGGGACGAGAGATGAGAAAATGACCAGCCTGCAGCCTCTAGGCCAGCAAATGGCCGGGCCGGACTCAACCCAGGAGGGAGCCCAGGTCAGGGCCGCAGGCAATGGGGCGGGGAGGAGAAGAGGCCCGAGTTTAATTCTGTCCTCTTGGTGCTGTTCCCAAGGGCCATGAAAAAATCAATCCACCTGCAGGCCAGCATTTGTACTTAAAGGTCCGCCCATCGCTTAACAGGCACGAACTGCCTACGCCGTGCTTCTCAGCACGGCCAGCGGCCGCTGTGGGACCCCCACTCCTCGCATGCGGTCACCATCGGGTACCTCTTCTGTCCCAGGCGGATGGCCTTCAGATTGTTCCCGTATTTGTTTTTGATCCACTTGATTCCTTGCAGCTGGGCGTCCACGATGAGGGGCCAGCGTTCCGTGTGGCACAGGATGGTGGCGTTCTCAGTGGACATGCGGTCACTGGGGAGTCCCTGGTTGTTCCAAGTGGCCACGTCAGCATCGTCGGTCAGCAGGCTCAAGGGATCCAGGCCTTCCGTAATCGGGATGGGGACCTGCCGAGGACGTGCTCTTCCTTAGAAACACATGGCCTCACTGCTGTACGGAAAACATCCCCCTAAATAATAGGTGGTCCTGTAGCAGACGGTGACGGTGGGCGGGCCGGGCCACCTGTGAGAAGACAGCCATTCACGTTGCCCTGACCAGCCAGAGGGATGTCAGTGCTGGCCACACGGGGCCACCGTCCAGACACTGTGTGGCTGCAGTGTCAGCCTCAGGAACGAAGGTGAGATTAGGCTGGGCCTGCCCTGCGGGGACCTCCCTGCATTTCCTGAGCGATGGGCCGCTTACCTTTAAGTTTCTTATATAAGGGATCCAAAACTTCTCCAGCAGCTCATTTCGGTATTTCTTGGTGAAATAGCCCACATAGGAGACGAAAGCGGAAATCAGCAGGACGTCCCCGCACAAGGTGACCCCCTGGCTCTTGTAGCTCTCCACCGATTCAGCCCAGCGGACGTTTTCCGAGGCCAGTCCGCCCACGAGCCTAGCAGGGATCAGAGGAGAGAGCCAGCATCTGGTGGGCGAGCGGCAAGGGAGGCGCGGCCACCTTTAACTCCCGCGAGCCCTCGGCTTCCAAGGCCTTACTGCGCTCAGAAGTTCAACAGTGAAAATGCTTTCGGGGGAATAAGTGCTGAAAGGAAGCAAGACGAATGCTGTCTGGGAACGCTGCGCTCGCCGACCCCGGCCACCTGCGTTGAAGCCACGGCCACACTGACGCTGTCTGACCATGCCACCCACACGCCAGGGCTGCCAGGCACCACTGAGCACAGGCTTCGGCTAGCGGGAAGTCTGGGTGGTGGCCACGGCGGCCCCAGGACAGTGCGTGGAGCGGGGACTCCAGGGCATGCCTTGTGCTTCTCAGGCCTGGTCCCCGACCCTCAATGGCATGAGACGAGAGTTGACGTAAATCTGTTCAAAGTACAGGCTCCCTGATTAGCCCCACTGTGGTCTGTCTATTCAAGCGTCATTCAAGCAGCCCTTCTCCCCAGTGACCAAAAGAGCACTTTGATTTTCTGGGCAGGTTCAGTCAAGTCCCTCAAACTCACAGCAAGGGTGATGTCCACACCCAGCTGGGGGCCAGTTTCAGGCAGCCTGGGGGTCTCCTGGGGTCCCCATGTCATGCTGACAATGACCATCTAGTGGTCACCAGCCCATTGGGGAGGAGAAAATACACCGGAAGCCGTGCCCTAGAATGGACTGCATCTGCCTGGCCTCTGTGCTCACTTATGAAAACCTGAAAAGAAAGCTCTAAAGCCACGCGTCCACTAGGGCGGCCCTGAGCCACTGGCTGGTCAGAATTGCAGCGTGCCGTGAACACACACAAGGACTCAGAGTGAAAACAAGCATGTAAAATACCTCATTGTTCATCCTTATATTGATCACAGGTTGAAATGTCAGATTTGGGGTTAAATAAAATATATTATCGAAACCAATTTCATCTGTTTCTTTGTACTGTGTATTAAGGTGGCAACTAGAACATTGGAAGTGACAGTTGTGGCTCCTGCCCTATTCCCACTGGACAGCACTGCTCTGGAGTCCCCTTGTGTTATGGTCTCTACACAACATGAGATGACCCTGGGAGCCTGGCCCAGCACCACAGGATGGGTGACGGCGGGTCACAGCGAATTCTGCCTGAGCGCGCCTCTGGGGACACAGTGTCCCCGGCAGGTCGGGGTGATTCGGGAATCCACACTGCGAGAGGTCATGTTTCCTGAAGGTCACTGGATGCCCGAGGGTCCACCACGGAGGTGTGACCAGCTCCAGGAGGTGGGGGCTCAGGTCACTGATCAGACATGACGTTTATCCTCAGGGCTTTGTGCTGGGAAAGTGGAAGGCTGGGACACTGCCCCCTCCTCCTGGGGGGCTTACTCCTCCTCCTGCAAAGGCCGTTCTGCGGGCTCATCCCTTTCGGGGTGTAAAGGCACGAGGGGTGGCCTGTGCGGTGCAGCGAGCTACCTGTTGGCCAGCGAGATCACGTGGTTGGTGGCATCGGCTTCCTGTTGGCACTTGATTTTCTCAGCTGTCGCTTTTTCGAACGCTAACGTTAGGTTGCTCAGGTTGGCATTGAGTTCCTGCAGAAACAAGGTGGAAAAGCCCTGGAATGGAGCTACACTGGCATTCCCGCGCGTGCCCTGTGACGCTGGGTAGGGAACAGGGCTTCCCATAAGGGCCAGAGGCACCCAGAGCATGAGGGCCGCTGACGCAAAGCGGCCTCCCCGAGTGACCGGTCCCCGCAGCTGCCTGCGTGCGCTCTCCCTCCAGCTGCTGAATAATTCACGGCAGCGGGCCTGCCAACCTTTTAAGCAGAGGTATTGACCGGCAGCCGGAGCAAGTGGCTTTGGCGCTGGCTGGGGGCGCGAGCGAGGGAGTGAGCACTTACGGCAACCTTGTTCTTGATCCGGGAGAGCTTCTCCTGAGCCTCTGCCAGCTCTGCATTAGCCTCCTCCAGGGCCTGCCTCTTGGGGGCCACGTCGCAGTAGACCTCGTAGAAGCGGACAATGTTGATGCACCAGGAGCACAGGCCCGCGGCGGCCATGGACTTGGAGCGGATGAACTCGGGGTCAAACGTCGGGTTGCCTTGATAGGGCCTGGGGAGGGGACATGGGCGCTGGCGTGGGCCCGGCGGGATGTGGGGTCTGCCCCCACCTGGAGCCTGGCAGCTGATCATAAGGGGAGCAGGGGAGACTTGTTTTTTTTTTTAATCTTAATGATTACAGAAAGAAGAAGGAAAACAATGAAACAGAATTCTGGCCTCTGGAGGAGAGTGGGCTGTGAGGGGATGGACAGCAGAGACTCAAGGTGTGTGTTCCGGGTGGAGGAAGGAACGCAGCACTGTTATCCGCTCTGCTCCTGCGCTTTCTACAGCCCGTCTCATTGTCATTCTCCAGACTCCACTCACAGCGACAAAACGGGGGCCCACAGGGGGTCAGCAGCGTGCCCAAAGCAACACCACGGGAAGTGGTAGAACCAGGTGCCTGTGTCACTTCCCAAACGTTAGCGCCTGGAGCCACCTCCCACCTGTGGGTGCCATCACCTCCTCTTACTCTGGGGAGAAAGACCCAGAGAGGCTGAGTGTCTGTCCCAAGGTGACACAGCTCAGATGGGGCAGCGCTGGGATTCACAGGGAGCCAGGAAGCCCAGAGCACCCCCCCACACACACACCCATCTGCTTCCCCAGCGAGGTGCCCAGGTTTCCAGGGTCGTCAGTGAGGCTCCGGCTCCACGGGTGAGGCTTAAAAGACATGACGATGTGGGAGTTATCTTATGAGAGGGGCCATGGAAAATGCCCAAAGGTGCAGTTTGGACTTTAGAAACCAATATTTTTTAAATGGCACCAACATCCTTAGCATAACAAACGGAACCATCTGTGGAAAGAATTCTGAATGGAGAAGTCAAACCATGTCCGACAGGTGATTGGAATTTAGGCTGGGAGCACAGCCGCCATCCCCGCCCTCTGGTTTATTTCACGCTCGTTGAGGCTAATGTGAAGATGGGTTTGCTTCTTTCACACCCACACCAGACAGTGTGGGGTGGTGGCCATCTAGAAGTTTGTTGGGTGACGAGGAAAAGACGTTCATCGTGGCACTTTTTGTGATGGCAAAAATGGAGAAAGCCTAAATCCTTCACCGTGCAGGAACAGTGAAGCGAGTTACGGTTCAGCTGCAAGATTCGACAGCAGTTACAAATGAAGCTGATGAAGTGTTTTCACAACGTTGAGTAAAAAGGAAACGCAGAACAAATAACTGCATATATACAGTATTATTTCAATTCTAGAAAAAAGACTGAAAGGAAATATCCCGAGTGTTGATCGTGGCCGCTCCCTGGTGGTGAGCCTGTAAGGGTTTTCTTGTCTTTTTTCTTCTCCTTTAAACTATTCTTTATCCAAAGTTTTTCAATTGTCCAGTTCTCTTCCTCAACAAAGGGAGCTTGGAGCAGTTGGGGTCTCACCCGGGGTCTCATGGGGTCATGGGGTGTGACTCTTTCTCAGTCAGGGTCAGCTGGACCCTGAAGTTGGGTTGGCAGCTGATGTCCAGGCAGGTGGCACATGAGATGCCAATGGAGGGTCTGGAGTGCTTACAAAGGGGAGCGGCTCATGAACGCTACATGTTGGAATTTATGGGTAAAACGTGGCGGTCCTCCCATCACCCCTCCCAGGCCTTTCCGCCCTCAGAGATGACACTGCCAACCTGGTTGAGTGTGTCCCTCCAGACGAGGTACATTTCCAGGTGCAGCCAGATTTGCCCAGGCCACCACCCGCTGTCTGTGGGGCTCCACTTTGCTCCTCAAGCCCAAGACCCTGCCCCACCCCCGGCAAGGACAGGCTTCCCTTGGAGCGGGGGGCGGGAGAAGATCCCGGGACCACCCAGCACCTGGACGCTACGGCTCCCAACAGGACCAGGACCTAAATGGAGGCCCACGTGGCGCAGCCGAGACCAACTCACTTGAACGCTTTCAGGCAGGCCTCGGGGATGTGTTCCTTGTCAAACTTTTTCAAGGAGTCCAGGAAGGTGTCCACTTTGCCCATCATGATTTTCGCAGCCTTCCAGCTCTTGTCCTTGGGGATCTTGCCCCCGGGCGCGGTCAGAATCATCACGGCGGCCGTGACATTGACCACGGCGTCTGGGGGGGACCCGAAGGACTTCAGCTCCGTCAGGTTGTTCTGCAAACGACAAGTGGGACGGACCTGAAAGGGAGACCTGGAGGCCCCGGGAGACGACCCCAGGGAAGCTGCCGTGAGTATGTCACCGCTTGAACTGATGGCCACGGTGGCTCCTTTCCCCTCGGGCCGGGGTCTCCGTTTCTTTCTTTTTCTTCCCTTACCTTATTCAGAGTGTCCAGAGCTTCCTGTGCGGCCAGCAGGGCAGGCTCTGCCTTGGCCAGGTCCGTCTCGCAAGCCTTTTGTTTCTCGGTGACATTCTGGAAGAAAGTCAGACAGGAACTATCAATTTGGCTGGTCCATGTGGGGGTGTAGAGGGAGCCCTGGGCAGCCCCCTGCGTGCTCCCTTTCACACTCACTGGGTCACCAGTCCCCGCCTGGAGCCTGCCTCCTTTGTCCCTGACCCCCCCAGCACTCAGGTCACAGTGAGCCTGCAGTGGCAGACTTGGGATTCAAGAATGTGAACTATTCCTTCCATTGGCTCCAGCTTCCAGGCTGGAGGGGAACCTGGGGCCATGCAGACCAGCCCTGACTGTGAGGTCTTGTCTCTTGGAACATTTCAGAGGCACAGCTCATCCTCCCCTTAAGAAAGTGAGAGCATCTTTAGTCATGCACGACTCATTCATTCATGCATGTGTTCATTCATTTGTGCACTCATTCATTCATGCATGTGTTCATTCATTTGTGCACTCATTCATTCATGCACGTGTGTTCATTCATTCATCCAGTCATTCATCCATCCATGCTCTCATTCATTCATCCACATGTTCATTCAGTCGTGTGTGCATTCATTCACTCTTTGGGTCAGGAAGAGCCCCCTGGGTCTTCAGGTGCCAAGCAGAGAGACCAGTGGAAGCTTGATGACTATCAGTAAGGAAGAGCATCTGCGTGATAACAGAGAGTGAGGAAGAGGCCACAGGGGCTGGAGCTTTGCAGGGTACCAGGGAGGAAGGACAGTAGGAGAGGGTCTCCCCAAGTCCTGTCCCAGCCAGGGCAAGTAGCCTCCTAGAGACTCCCATTCTGCATCCTGCTCTAGGGACAACAAGGACACGACTAAGGGACCAGGGCATGGAAGGCACTGACCAGCCGGCTCTAGCTTTCCTCCCTAGAGCACTTAGGGGCCATATCTGGATGCAGGGGTTAGAAAGGGGCGCACGCCCAGACTTCGGGTAGCAGGTCACAGAGTTCAGGGTGTAGATCCTGGCTTATTCAGAGCCGGACTACGTCCCTTGCTAGTTTTGAGTCCTCGGCACATTGCCAACCATGCCAAGCCTCCGTTTCCTTATCTGCTTGAGAGGGCTGAGGTTGTGCAGGTCACAGTGGGAAGCAAAGTGGAGCTCCTGACCACTCATCTGGCCCATCTCCCCAGTTCAGCTCCGGCCCCTCTTCCTGCGGCCTTGGAAGGAGGCTGTCCTTGTCCTCCATCTCAAGAGATAGCAGACAATTTCTGGGACACTCTTAATTTAAACACTCATGCAGATGTGTGACTTATGACACAAAAGCATGCAAGGAGAGGTGATGAAAAATCAAACCAACGGTGACAAGGACCTTCAGTAGGAGCCTACCCTACCAGTGACATCGGAACCTCTGGGGGCTATCAGTGCAGCAAGTTTGAGGCCCATGGCTGCAGTGCAGTCTCCCCAAACCTTGACGTGCTCATCAGGGATCGCCCACCCTTGTTAGCATGCAGATCCGACAGCATGGCTGGCCCTGGGCCTGAGAACCTGCATTTCTTACCAGCTCCCAGAGATGCTGCCACTGTGGCCAGGAACCTCACTCAGAGGCGTGTGGCTTCAGGGGCGCATTTCTCTAAAGGACAGCCCTCTTCTGACCCTGGGGCCCTGTGCTTGGGAGACCTGCCTCCCCAGGGAGTCCCGCAGGTTTGAGACCCCTTGGGGAAGGCCCAGCCGTGCAGCCGCGGGCAGTAGCTCTCCTGAAGCCATGCCTGTTGCCCACCTTGTTGATGACCTCCACCTTGACCTCTTCCTCGTCTGCAATGGCCTTCTCCTTGCTGACCTTCTTCGTTTCCACACCCACCACGTGGATCAGCTTGTCCGCATTCTCATTCTTCTGCTTGAGCTCAGCCTCCTGAATTGCTAGCTTGGCTTTTAAGTCATCCACCTGCGGTGGGGGGGGAGGCACAGGGAGTGGCTTGACCGGCCCGCACTGTCCAGCACTGCCTGTGGCCGGGGCTTCCACCAGAGCCGGGGCTCGGACTCAGGCCCCCTTGAAGGCAGCAGGGCTGGGCCACCCCCCACCTGCACCTTCCTGCCCCTCGGCTGGTCACACCTCAGGCAGGAGAGCGGTGGCTGTTTACTGGAGTCCCTCAGTGGACAGTAAAGACAAAGAAGCCGAGGCTACATCTTGGAGGAGAGTTAACGCCAACAGAAAGCTTAAAAATCACTACGGCATGAAACAAAGCGTGCCAGGAGCCTTTCCACCTGGACACAGCCGGAAGGGTGTTTTGGAAGGGATGCATTTTAACAGGTGCCCCATTCGATGCAAGGCCCACATAAAGCGCCCAATGTAGTGTGAGCATTATGACTGCGTTTTTCACATTAAAATCTGCACATTCTCTGGTTTCAGAGCGGAAGTTTCTGTGGGGCAGGTAATCGTGTTCGTCTTACTTCCTCTCAGAACCGGCGCCCGGGGCCCGTTTTTCCTACCTGAGAAGCCGTGCTCTGCAGTTTCATCAGCCCGTTTTCCAGCCTCTCGATCTTGGCGACCAGCTCCATCCGCTTCTTGGCCAGCAGATTCTGGTAGAGTTTGATCTGCTCCAGGAAGGTCTTGGGCGTGGTGTAGTTGAAGCGCCTCTCGGTGGCCAAGTATACCTTGGACATCTCATTGACCGTTGTGTGCACGTAGGCCATGAAGAGGCTGATGGAGTCCTTGCATTCCGGCTACAAAGACAAGATGTCCCCCGTTCCCTGACGGGCATGACGTCTTTCCTGCAGGGGGCCCTGGCCTCCCTCTCGGAGGGGCCCATGGAGGAGGAGGCTGCTGGCCACAGGGAACAAGCAGCTGGGGTTCCCTCCCTCGCTGGGGACCTGGATGAGATGCGGCTCCTCTCAACCTCAGCGGTTCAACCATCAAGTGAGGCTCCAGGAGCAGTGCCCGCCGGGGCTGTCGTGGACACTGGCGACATCGCCACAGAGGGAGGGCTTAGCGCAGTGTGGGGACACAGCAGAGCTCGTTATTGCTAAAATCTCTCTGTGTCACACACACTCGCTCACACTCACACACCTGCAAACCTGGGAAGGCGCAGGGCCTGACTGTATGTTCGAATAACCCAGGTCATTAGGCAAGCGTTTAGTGTGCATTTTCTCTTCCCGGGCCAGGGGTTTTAGTAAGCCCTTTCCCAGCTTCCTCTGTCCCCCGTCTGTGCCAGGGTCACGTCTCCCACCACCTGGGCCTGCCCACCTGCCCGAAGGCAGGCAACTGGGAGCTTTGCCCCGGGACCTGTCCAAGCGATGTGAATTTTAATTCAGGTTCATTTGGAAATGTGTTCGTCCACCACCACACGCGTCTCCAGCATTGACTCCGCTGCCCTTGCTGGTGCCGGCGGTGGGTGGGGCATTTCCGCTCCTAGGAAGCCTATGTTGGGGGCTGGAAACCCACATCGACGTTTCACTCGGGGCACAGACAGAACGTCGGTCGTAACTGCCGCCCGTCCCGAGAGTGAACACTCCAAAGATGGCGAGCAGGGGATTTTACCCATCTTTAGAAACTAGGGGGAAAGTTAATTTCAGGTTTATTTTATCCTACCAAATAACTGAGTATGTGTTTGAAATAAATGACACTTGATAACAAACTGTGACTTATCCTGGGGCTGCAGCTCATCCCACGCCCTGGCCGGGCCAGAGCGTACAGATCACTGCAAGGTCGGCAACTAGCTCAACAGTGAACTTGGGCACCATCTTTCAATATAAGAAAGACACCACAAAAGAAAAGAAAAGGGGGCTTTTCTTTTTTCACTCGGGGTACTAGTCCTGCTCTCTAAGGAGGGCAGGTCAAGGACAGCAGAGGCAAGCAGAGGCGGCATGCGCCCATCGTGCGCCATCACAGTAAACACAGCCTCTCCAGCCAGCTCCCGCCGGGGATGGTGTGAGGCCCGAGCTGCCCAGTCTGTTGGCCTGGGTGCTGGCCCTCCTGAATTGGCCGGGTGGGGTGCGGCCACACGGGCCGGGGACCCCGAGCTGATTCAAACGACTCTTCCCCTGGCACAGTAACGCAAGGCCGAGACACAAGCAAACAGCAGCCCGCCTGTGTTTATAATTTTGTTCACTGGGAATTTTTTTTAGCAGTAATATCGTTTTTAAAAAACAGTGCATTAAAACGTCACTGATCTGGATTACTGAGGTTTTCGGTGCCCCTTACATTTTGTGCCCAAGGCGAGGGCCTCATGTGCCTCACCCTAGTCCCGGCCCCGGAGGCAGATGGCCGGGGATCCCTCTTCCCAACGCGGCCAGTGCTCCTGGCCCTGTGAGCGCTGGCACAGGGGATAACAGGGGGAGCCGGGCCCAGCGACTCGCCTGAACTCCCTCGGTTTCCTGTAGGAAGCGGGCGCTGACAGACACCAAGGCCTCTTCCGGCCACTCATGGAACCAGTCGATGGCCGTGCAGTTGACCACAGCAGGAAATTTCCTTGCCCGCACACGCAGGGTGGAGCCCACAGGGGAGAAACACAGAATCACCTGGATGCAGGACACAGAAAAGTCGCTCAAAGTGCTGGGGCCAAATCACGCCACTTTGCAGATAGCTCGTTTAGAGGAAAAAGCGCTCTGTGTGGTCTCAGCTTCACATGTCTGGGGAGCACGTTCCTGCTTCCGGGTCTGCGGTGTGACCATTGCACCGCAACAGACAGCTGCTCCACTGACTTCATGACTCTCACTAGTGATGTGAGGGTGCAGGGTCAGCCCCAAGCCCCCCTCAAGTGACCCCGCCAAGGAGGATGAAAAAGGCTGGATGAAAGTTGGAGTGGGGGATGGGCCTCCATGCTGAGCAGATGAGGCCCAAGCACGAAAAGGACCTCAATCCTTTGAGCAGGTCTGGTCTCCGGGGATACAGAGCCTCCTCCAGGCCCCCACGGATGGTGGCTAATCTCCAGACAGGCTGGAGTCCCTGGGAGCCCAGCTGCAGAGAGTACCACAGGCATGTCCCTTCTGCTGGACCTGCGACCTCCTGTTCATGGCAGCCTCGGTCCCCTGGGCCCTCCCCGTGTAGTCCCTTCTTCCCCAGGTGTAGTGGCCGGCTCACTGGAAGTGGCTGTTGCACCAAAGGAGAGCCAGACGGGCCACCGAGAAAGAAGCCAGGCGCAGGGAGTGTCTGTTGGGGACCCCGCTAGTCCCCCAATGACATCCACTGATTGGACTGTGTAATCAGACAGGGGAGACAAAGAGGGAACTTGCTTTATAAATTGCACCGAGCAGGGGAAAATGAGAGCCAGCAGGCGCCTGGGGAGCTGTGGGGTTGGACTCCCCACCGATGGGCGACGCCACCAGGCTGCTCAGAGAGGCAGAGAGGTGTAGCCAGGGTAGTTCAGCTACTTCCTCTCCGAGGGGATGTTGAAGGTCAAGGGGAACTTGCCTATTTAAACTTGCTGAATGTGTGCGTGTGCGTATAAAACACTTCTGGGGCCACAAGACACTGCTAACATCCCATGTTCATCAGACCACCCCACTGTCCTCTTCTGACGGGCTTCCCTACCCTGGGAGGGGACGGCCCCCACCTGTACACAGAGGAAAGACCTGCCAGGCCCCGGGGACCCCGCGGAGACGGAGACCCGTACCTTAAGCTGCCTGCGCACTTTCTCAATGAAGAATTTCCAGCACGTTTCCCGAGTGTCGTTCACGCCGAGGGACTTCACATGCGGGCGCATGGAGGAGATGATGGTCTCCACGTCGTCGTCCCCAAACAGCCCCGGGATCTCCCCGGAGGCCAGCAGGTCATTGATCAGCACTAGAAACTGCTCCTCAGCCACCTGGGAGTCTGTCATCAGGAACACGGAGGGGACGTTCTTCACGGCCGCCTTTATGTACTGAGCGCCCAGGTCAACCTGCATCAAGGAGGACATGCTGAGCGTCCTGGCCAAGACGACGCTCATTCGGGGGCGTCCCTCACCCACCCATGAAGGGACACCTGGACAGCAGTGGCCTACGACCTGTGCACACCATGGGTGAGGACAGGCATGTCACAGCAGCACTATTCACGATGGCCCCAAGTGGGAGCACCCCCGTTCATGGACAGATGCGTGGATACCAACAGTGGCCTACCCACACCGTGGAATACCATTCAGCCCAGAAAAGGAAGGAAATTCTGACACATGGGTGAACCCTGGAGACATTATGTAGAGTGAAATAAGCCAGATGCAGAAGGACAAACACTGTGTGATCCCACTGATATGCGGTCCCTAGAAAGTCAAAGTCAGAGAGACAGGAAGGGGAAGGGGGGTGCCAGGGGCTGGGGGAGGGGAGGGGGAGTTGGTGTTTAATGGGGACAGCTTCAGTTTGGGAAGACGAGAACGTTCTGGAGGTGGTGGGGACATCTGCACAACAATGTGAATATACGTAATGCTCCAAGCTGCATGGTTAGAACGCTAAATGGTGTGTTATGTAGGTTTCACCACACACACACACACACACACAAATGGGCAAAAAAACCCTTAATTGGAGACCCTAAGAGAGGCCCCAGACACATGAACCACAGGCTGAGCCTGGGAGACGGCACTGGAAAGAAAGGACAGTCCTCAAAGGCCCCTTTACACGTCAGGTAACCTCTGTGTCACTGGTAGGATTTAGAGATAACCCCACAAAGTAATCGCATGGCCGCTCTGAAAGGACAAATGAAGAAAATGGTAAAAAGAGAAAAGCAAGTTACAGAGCAGTAGGAATAGCTTGCTATTTAAAAAAAAAAACATGTATAAATGGTGAATATACATTAAAAATGTCAGTGTCACCTTAGTGTGAATTTTCAGGGTTTTGGTGACTTGCTTATCTGTGATGTCTAATTTTTCTATTAGACCTATGGGCCTCTGTAAAATCATTTAAAAGGCTTTAAAAATCTCCATTATAGGCGTCCCGAGTTGCTCAGTTCCGCCTCTGGAAGTGGGACCACCTCCCTGACGTCTCTCTGTTCAGACAAAAACATCCCCGAGGTCCCTTAGTTGGAGTTGACGGGCATGTTAGCTGGGGTCAAAAGCAAGCCTCAAACTCCATGTTTTTGACAAGCTAAGACAAGAAAAAATCGGAGGGAAGTCCCGAGCTTGAAGAGCAGAAGCCACAGGTGGGATTCAGGCCGTGGCCGTGGCCCTGGACGCCAGGCAAGGTCGTCCTGAGATCCGCAGAGCCTCGGCTTGAAGGACGGTCTCTCTGCTTGTTTTACAGCCCTCTGTACACAGGCCGTTGGCGGAGGCTCACAGCACCAGCTGCACTAGTGATCTGTATCTAACTTCAAGGCCCGACTGTACGTGTGGGCCTGGCGGTCATCCCCGGGGAGCAGGAAGAAGAACGGAAGCTTCCAGGTTGCAGTGAGAAGGCAGGTCTGGCAGGTCCGGACCGCAGGGTGCATATCCAGGAGAACGGCTGTGGGTTCTTCACCCCTGCACCAGGAACGACCCAAAAGGGGAGCTGCGAAGTCCCACCAACTTCAGATTTCGAACCCCGTTAGACGGGCTCAGGCAAGGGCTCCTGCTTGGAGAGAGCGAAGCTGGTTGCTGCTGGCTCTGCGTCAGAGCGGTTGATTCTGGAAAGGCCAATGGCCCACAAAGGCCCAGCAATGGACGAGTGGCCCTGCTGTGCACAGTCACCCTTCCCTCAGTCCTGGCCGCTGCTCCTCCCCGGAGACGGCGGGGTCTGCTGGACTTTCTCTTGCCGCCGCCCCTCCTCTGTTGCTCCTGCTCTCTGCTCTCCCCTCAAGCCCCAGGAGGGTCTGCTATGGCCATGACCACAGGGCCCTGCCTCATCCGTGCCTTTGTCCTGCCCGGAAGCTCTGCGGCCTTGACCTGGGGGCCAACCCTGCCCTGTCCTGAAGCTCAGCCCTCTCTGGCCTTTCTGGTCACAGCTTCCCGCTGGGATCCTTCATCCGTCCCTGCTGACCAGAGCTGTGTACTGTGTCTCTCATCCTGCCCACCCCGGGGGTTCTGCCCTGCCCCAGCCTGTTTATTCTCTCTGCATGACTCCTCCACTCCCACCCCCTTAGGCCGGGGTGGGGGGCTGTCCTGAGACCTCCATCTCCCACCTGTTCCTGCATGTCCCATCACGCACGTCCAGTTTCATGTTAGCTGTTTCCTCCTGGTGTCCCCTAATTCCTCAGACTCCCGTATCTGTGAAGCAGCACCCGTTTTCTTGTTTTTTTCCCCAGCACTTGTGTCTTGGCTGCCCAGGTCTTCTCCTTCCTCACTTCCTGTCTGGTTGGAGGCACATTGTGCTCATAATCGCCCCAGCTGCAAACGTCACGTCAGCCCCGGAAGCTCAGCTCCTGCGGGTCCGTTGGGCGTTGATGATGATGATGATGACCTGCGCAGCCCCGGCGCCGAGGCAGAGAGAGACGTGTCCATGTAATGTGCTCAGGTGAACTTCAGTTCTGATCAGAGGCACCATGATACTTTGTTCTGGATGAATCGTGTTTGACTACCATGCAGCTCCCCAAGAGAGCAAATTTTCGGGAAAGGGAATCAATCAACAGCCTCGGCGTGTGTCTTGGGGATGGGAAACCAGTTTACGCTAACATTTCTTTCATTAATTCAAAGAGCAGCCACCAGAGTCCTGAGCGTGTGTCGAATGCCTAGTAATGGTCCTGAGTTATCTAACCCACAGGATTGGGAGGACGCAGAGCAGTGACCGGGCAACAAGCAGATCCTTCACTGTTGCTCTTGGTGGTGACGTCACGGACTCCAGCCTACTGGGTGATGGAGGTCCACACTTCCTTTCGCCTTCGTCACTGGTCAAAATGTCTCCTGGCCTTTCCCATCTAAGGTGCAGACCCCGCTGGTGGCAGTCAGATCCTCTGGGCTGGAAACGGGGGTAGGAGCTTCCCCCACTCCCCACGCCCCGCACCACCCCAGGGGCAGCGTGTGGAAAAGCCGCGTCTCACCTTGAGGTCTGGGACCCCGTAGCCCTTCCTGAGGGCCATCTGGAACACATCCAGGGAGCTGATGTGGGCGGCCAGGCGCGAAAGGCTCTGCTTGCCGCTGCCACCCACACCCACTAGCAGGGCGTTCCCGTGGGGGGACTCCAGGATTCGGTTGATCCTGCAGACGTGTGCCACCGCGTCCTCAAACAGCACCTGCAGGGGCCAGACTCGCCTCAGCGTCTCACCGCCCGTGGCCTGGCATTCCGCAGCACGGAGCCCCATCTGTCCCCTGGCAGCATTTGCCACGAGTCATGCAGCCCCGGAGTGCCATCAGGTGTTATGATGAGACTGGAGAGGGGGCCCGTGTCCAGGCCCCTGGCCATGCTGTCAGCTCGAGCACCACTCACCAAGCTCATGACCGCGTTGACCTCATTGTAACTGTCTAGGGCATCCATTAGGATCTTGTTCAGATGAGCCACGTTGGTGACCGGGAGGTACTTGGCATCACCGATCCCTTGAGCAAAGTGGCAGAAGACGTTCGGTTTGGCAAATAAGAGCTCGTCGCCAAGATCCTGCAGGCGAGAGATAAGACGCGTGTGTGGTTTGGCCCCGGGGACACGCCATGGACACAGATCATTACCAGCAGCTGAAGCACTTGGCCACGGTGCTTCAGGAGGCCAGGCCAAGTCTCCAGGGCCCCAGGCCACTGCTGTCAGGGGTGCTGCAGATGACTGGGCCAAGTGCCCTGCTGGGATGGTCTGATCCCCATCATATGAGGAATAAACTGATCGTCCAAAGAAACTGCTCCACCAAGAAAGCCCAGGACACAGCAGCAGAGCACATGGACCCAAGCAGGCCTTTCTCCACCCCAGGTGGGAGGAGGGAGGTCATCATAGCCCATCTACCGAAGGGTCAGTTCCTTCTCACTCAGGCGCACACCCACGTGACAGAGTTGTTTCATGGGACCCAACATGGTCCTTCTCACCCCCACCTGAGGGCACTTCCAGGAGGGCTGGGGTTATCATTGGCCCCAGACACTCTGCCTGCGTGGAGCGTTTCTGGACTCAGCAGAGGGACCTGGTGGCTTGACTTACGTCAAAGAATTTCTTGGTGGAAGCGACGGTGACTCGGTACAGTGTTTCCTGGTCTTTTTCATCAACCATTTTGTCACCATAAACTCTCTCTGCTTCATGCAGCCAGAGGCGGACGAGGTCCAGCGGGGTTTTCAGGATCTCCGCTGTGGAGAACAAGAGCCCCTGTCCCAGGCACAGGAGGGTCAGCGCTTTCAGTTGTGTTATGAGGCAGGTGAAGTGCTGTGTGCAGGTGAAACAAGAAAGCAGCCACTTCCCCGGGGAGTGAGCCATTCGGCTGCTGGTGTGATGTCAACGTGCGGCCAAGGGAGCCACCGATTGGCAAGTCCATGCACATCCTGGAGGCCGGACGGCGTGTCTGTGGCCGGAGAGGTGTGGGGGCATTTTCCTCACAAGACAAGGTTAAAGGCTTCATCCTCCAGTGGGGTGGACGGTGGAGAAGGGACAAGGGGGCTAGTCATGGAGGAACCAGACTATCGGCGGCCACAGAGCAGGGCGTTACAAGCATGGGCTCTGCAGCCAGCCTGCCTGGGTCCAGTCCTGGTTCAGCTGTTTACTAATAAAGTGGCCTAGGCAAGTTCAACAGGTGCTTATTGAAGGCCGACTATTTTCCAGGCACTCTTCTGGGCCCTGGGAACACAGTGACAAAAGGCAGACTCTGCCTTCATGGGTTTGCATTCTAGTAGGCGATGTAACCAGGCAAAAAAGATAACAAGGTAATTATTCATTGTGACGAGCTCTGAATGACATACACGGGGCAGTAAGATGGTGTGTAGGGAGGAGGGAGGCCTCTTGAGGGCACGACATTCGAGCTGACACTTGAAGTGGGAGGAGAAGGCATCATTTAATGTTCCTGAGCCTTAGACACCCTTAGATGTATGAGCATGTTGCATGTTGTTTGGAGGAGAAAATGGGTGTGTAAGTGGTCAAACCCAGTGCCTGGCTCAGACTAAACAGTCAATAAATAAGAGGAAACATCATTACTCTCATCATCATCATTATCACTATCGCCATCACCATCATCACCATCACTCTCACCACCACTAACACTAGCACTGTCATCATCACCACCATCATCATCACTGACATCACCATCATCACCATA